GAATCTAAAATTTAATTTTTCTCTCCACAAATTATAGCCTAAGGAAAGGGTCTAATATGTCTCTGCGTAAATCCGCTTCTTCTGAATCGAAGCCTCCGGCAACACTCGCCAGTAGATTCTATATAGTGCTATAGAAATTGTTTTGATTTCAATTTCTGGTTTCATGTTTTTTCTGCTACTCCATTCAACCATCTTCCTTGGGTCTGATAAATTTGTGTCATAACTTTATCGGAAATTTCTTTTTTTGATATTATATATGGTGTCTTCAAGGAATATATAAGACCTTATAGTTTAAACATTTATGCGACTTCAAAAGACGATTCGAGTTGATTAGATCAATCTCAAGTCATCTAAAAATTTTATCTACGAAAATATATTTCTATATTATAATTTCATTAAACCAAATACAAAAAAATAACAATACTCTTCGTCTCATTTTTTGCGGACTTACTAATGCTTGTCATTCTTGAATAATCGGTACTACCTCCTCCCTCTATAGTTTAACTATTTTTAAGTTGTTCATTTTTGCCTTTTGATCGACACGAAAAGTTCTTTGATGATGCGTCTTCGCTTTCTTCCTAAAAGATAGAACCCTGATTTCAAATATGGGGTGCTGATTCTTGTCGCTTTTGTTCTAGACCATGTTTTTACTGCATACGTCAGGACAGGCCGAATGATGGTCTTGTAGAGCCTTGATTTGTTTTGATGGGAAATAGACCTTCTTCAATTGTGGAATACACCGAAATAACATATATTTGCTAATGCTATTACACTATACATCTCCTGATTGAAATCATTAATTGAAGGGACGCGGTAGCCGACAGAGCTAACACTTATACACTGACAGGCAAAAAATTCCACCCACTTGATTTTTTCATGTTTTCATCTAAAAATATTTCTGCTTTAAATTGGTCTATTGTTTTTAATGAATAAATAGGTAATCTTTTTGTATGTTTTCAATTAGGAATGTTAATATAGAGGACAATAACCCTTAATCCTTAATTCAATGAAATGATTCTAGATTCCAATGTTTACTTTCTATGGAATCAAAATGTTTATTCAGTAACATTATTTCAGTGCCGTTTCTTACAGCACATTTCTTAGTCTCCGGCTTTTATTTTTTTCAATATTAAGTTTGAAAATGCCTCTTAGTGCTGAGAATGTTGCGCGTGGTGTGAAACTTATTGATGTTGGAAGTTCTATTAGATATGCAGCTAACGCCATCGGAGTTCCATATGAAACTTTACGAGACGCCGTCAGGCGTTTTCGGGAAACTGGTTCTTACAATAGAAGGCCCGGTTCTGGACGGCCTAGGGTAACAGAACCACGGGATGACCGGTTTTTGACTTTGAGAACCGCCACCTTACCGTTGTTCAAGCGATTCATCAGCTCGAAGAAGTTCGAGGTGTGCAAATTTCTGAACGTACCGCTCGGAGAAGATTAAATGAGTATGGATTAATGGCTTTTCGTCCAGTAAGAGGACCAGAGTTGACCAGAACTCACAGAGTAACACGGCTGGCTTTTGCTCGAGAACACAGCCATTGGACAATGGATGAAAGGATTGCTGTACTTTTTACATATGAGTCAAGATTCGCTCTTCGATCTCCAGACGGGCATGGAAGAGAAGAAACGAAAGATGTGCAGCCTGTAATTTTTCCCAGAGCCAACCTTTCCAACGTGGTTCCTTAATAGTGTGGGCTGGGATTTCAATGGAGCGCCGCACAGAATTGGTTGTTGTTCGTGGAGGATCTTTGACGGCCATTCGCTATGTAGATGAGATTTTGGAACCTCATGTGTTGCCTATCCTCAACGAAATCCGCGATCGTTCTATTGTAATGCACGATATTGCACGTCCACATGTCGCCCGCATAGTGCAGACGTTTCTTCAACAGAAAAATATTGAGTTTTTAGCCTGGCCAGCACGTTCTTCAGATTTGAACCCTATTGAGCATTTATGGAATAACCTCGGAAGACGAATAAGAGCGCGTGCAACACTTCCTAATACACTGCAGGACCTTGAAAGGGCTCTTCGGGAGGAATGGGCTATCCTCCAGCAAAGGGACATTTCCAGACTGGTGGAAAGTATGCCGAGGCGTCTTCAAGAAGTAGTGAAGGCAAGAGGAGGAAACACGCGCTACTAAACGATGACGTAATTAATTTCTTTTAGAATAATAATGGTTCGTTTTTCAATTTTCTTTTCTCTAATCTTTCTTACCCTATCACATTTTGATTATTAAAGGTAAAAAGATTATAAATTTCCATAAATACTAAGTATTATCTACAAATACCATGTATTATATACAAATACAACTTTTTTTACAAGTGGCAGAAATATTTGTAGATGAAAACATGAAAAAATCTAGTGGGTGGAATTTTTTGCCTGTCAGTGTATAAAAGACGTTGCCCGACAACTTGATAAACTTAAGATAATGTGATAAAATAATTACTAGTTCGCGTTCTTTTGCGAAGAGGGCTTTTAACTTTGGTTTTCATCCCCCGCCCTCTCTCTTGGCCCGAGAAAACCCGTACAGCCAAAAAGGCGAGGCAAGAGAGGACAAAAAAAAAATATCATTAACTGAGTTGACTTCAGATTTCTGGTAGACAAGATTCCCTCCTCATTGAAATTTGTATCCTCCATGGTTAAAGTATTGAGTCAGGTTTTCTCCACCATCAGCTCACATGTATTTAATTTTGGTTTCATTTACAATTTAACCGATCTTCTAGATTGAATGTGGTCTTATCTATCTGGATTCGGTATTCTATGGATTGATAGTTTATATTTAACTCCTAACTTAATAACAGACAAGCTAGTTCATCACCTTGTCTTAAGTCCCCTTGTCCACCACCAGTCTCAAACTCCTTAGAAATATCTATTCACACAAGGTATTTGTCATTGTCATTGTCACATTCCTGGAAATACCAAGCTCTTTATGGGCTTGGTATAGTTTCTCACTGTTGTAGGTGGTACACACTCCATTCAAGTCCACGACGAAAAGATGATGCATGACCATTTGATTCTCGATACTCCTATATCCGCAACTGGTTGAATACAAGACAGTTTGATGAGAGAGAATTGCATATCACATACATAATTGTTTTACGAAACTGGAGAGAAACCCCAGTTGATTTTGTGACATACCTCAGTTTAACTTTCATATACTTAAAACTTATCAAACATAAAAGTTGTTCTAAAAGTGAGAGCTCTGCAGTCCATTCAAGGAGGCTGATGAAAAAGAAATTCCAATTCTTTATGGTTTTATAAAAAAAACAAACAGCCTATTTTAGCATCTAGAAAGACTCCTTCAAATGGTTTAAGAAAGATAAATTCGACTGCTTTTAATAGTAATTTTTTTTATGTGACCAAAATTAGAATTTATTTAAATTATTTTTTTTTAGCTCCACTTCATATTCAACAAAAAATGTAACAATAAAAAAAAAATAAGAAAATTATAATAATTAAATTTACTCCTTCCCTGTTTGGACCACAGCCTGAATGAACTCTTCTATTCCAATTAAGGTCTCTTATCACCTTCTGGTGTATACATTATTTACGTTACTCCCAGTATAGAAATTTAATATTTATTTGTAGTGATTAAATCTCTTCCTAAATTTCATTTTAGTTAAAAGGTTGGAGAGATAGTGTCTCCCTTGCTTGATTCTTTGAGTACTAACTTATATTTGTATTGCTATTAAGTTGATACAAGAGTGGAATAGAATTAGATCACTTGATCAGGGTGGTATAATCCGCCATATTTTTTCTCAGAAAAAGTACAATATTTTCCATTTTTTTTCCTCTACTCATAATATACCAAATTTATATGAAATTATTTTATCAATAACTATAACATTACTCTACTATACTATTATTATATCTAGAAAAACAGAATCAGAGGCCTAAAGAGGTAGACAGTGGGGACTAGGTTGATAGAAAATGGGTAATTTAAAACACCTGGTATCAAAATTATTTACAAAAAATATATCATATAAGTTTTCTTGCTTAACGTACTTTGTAAATGCAAAAATTTTAGATTCATTCGCAAAGAACATGTTCTCAGAATGAAAAAAGTAAACAACAAAACAATAACTCCTTGCTTCTTGATATAAATTGTTTTGCAAGATAAAAGAAGTTTTCTGTGTTTATAACCATATACTCATAACTGTTTTTTCAAAACGTCTTAGTAATAAATATCTCATAATTTTCTTTTGCCTCAAAATTCTTCTTTGACGCAACATGTATAATTCTGAAATCTATTTACAATAATAGAGTCAGTACTTCATCTTTATTGATTTTATAAATAAAGTAACTGAAATGGATTTAGGATTTTTTGAAAAAAATGTTTGAAATCTACTAAAATGAAACCAGAACAATGTGTTTGACTCCAATTTTATTAAACAAAAAATCTTGTCTTCTGTCTGTCAGCTCCAGATTTTGTAACTGTCAAGGGAGATAGGTTTCATCTCTGAGATAGAATTAAACATAAATATTAGCAAATCGATGAATTAGGTTTTTAACTAATTTGAATAAAATCTATCTGTTTATTACATCAAACGATTTACCAATACAAGATAATTTAATTAGTTAATGTGATTGTTTTGAAATTAACTTGCTAAAGAAGTGAAAATTCAGGCTAATCAAATCAACATATCCTTTAATTGAATATATCACTAAAAATGTTGAAGACCTGACTAGAGCATGATTACTTATCATGGAGGATACTCTTCATATATCATGACAGAAAAAAATAAATAATAAATTGATTTTTTATTTGAGGAATTAAGTGAGAAGTCACATTTTGAGCCGTTTGAGCTATTCGATTGAATATTGAAAATCAATGGAATCTGGACCATGAAAATCATTTTAATTTACCAGATATCTTTAGAAAATTATGTAAAGAGAATGATCAAAATTGAACCAATACTTTTGGTGAATTTCATATCCTTTATATTTACATTCTGTATGCTTTTTATCATGTTAATTTTTTTTTTTTTTTTTTTTATAGTGCCAAAGGATAGAACGGCGTGGACAAGAGTGCAGTCGCAGGCAGGCCAAGACCGAAGACGGCTACATAGTTTCCCTCCACAGGGTCCACTCCAGGGGCCTGCCTTATGGGCCTCCGGTTCTTCTCATTCATGGACTTTTGTCTGCTTCTGACCAATGGCTACTCTATGGCAGGGACCATGATCTAGGTAAACACTTATACAAAATTATGTGTATTCAATTTTAAAAACTCTGCCAATTAGGTCAGTATAACTTCCTCATCTTTTCATTACAGTCAATATGAAAAAACAAATTTAATGTTTTAATTATTTTGTCTTTCTTGTTTTGTATGTAATTTTGTATTTTTTGATTGTTGTATACCCCTATTTGTTTCCTATTGTGATTGATTTTATTATCTGTTTTTTTTAATAACTTCTGTGAAACAACCAAAAATCTTATTTTCTTATAATATGTTTTTCTGCTTTGAATAAAATTTTTTTTTTTATGATAACTATTACAAAGATTTAGAACTACTTGATAATTATTATTATTTATAATAATAAAAGTATTATCTCTATAGATTTTTTTATTAATTTTTTTTCTATTGTCTTTTCCATTTTGTTATTAATAAGATTATTTATGTGAACTCCATTCAGGTTAATTGGCCAAGTAATTTCCATTTTTAAACCAAGCTGCCTAAAGAATTTTGTTTGAGGATCTTGTAAATTGTACCACATCTGGTTTCTGAATAATCTGGTACAAATTTGCATTGTGTTCAATTCAACAAATGTGCGTCTCTGCTGCTCATCATCATTTACATGGCCAAACATTCTTTTCAGAATTTTTCTTTCAAAAACCTGTTGCTATCCACAAGTGTTAAGGGATAATTTATCTTACAAAAGAACATGCAGGACCTATCATAAGTAGTAATTAAAAGAAATGTTTTATGTAACCACAGTTTCCTATGAATTATATACTGTTATAAAAAATTGCTATATTTTGCCGGGAAGATGGTTATGGGATGATAACACTAATTCTTATTACCTTTAAGTAATTTTAGTGTTTATCATAAGTTCCAAAATTTTATAAATTTAAATTATTTTTTTAATTATTTTTAAATTATTATGTGATTGAAAAATGGTGCCATTTACCTACGAGTGCTTTGGTTACTTTTTTTTTTTGTACCTTCACATTCCAGCACTAAAATGTTTTAGAGTTAAATATTTATATATGTATAGAAGATAATCATCAATGGCAAAAATAATAATTTAAATTTCAACATTATTTCTTCTTCTTCATCTTAATCTTGCCCTCTTCTACCACAGAGCAGTGTGAGAGGTTCCTGCTTGTAGGGCCTGATCCAAGAGTCCCGATCCTGTACCAGCTAGTTGGGCCTATTCCAGTTCATTCCTCTCCTGCTGAATGCCTCCTGGACTGCTCCTTCCCATCTTTTTCTGGGCCTTTCTCTCGGCATTATTCTCTCAACTCTTGTTTTGTACGTAAGTTTGGCTATTCTTTCCTCCTACATCCTTTTGACATGACCAAGCCACAGTTGCTGGTTCTCTTCAATTATATGTATGACCAGTTTTATTTCGAAATTACTTCTAATTGTCTTATTTCTGACCCTATCCCTTTTAGTCTTTCCTTCTATCCTCCTTAGGTATCTTATCTCCATTGGTTGTATTTGGCTCCTATCTCTTGATGTCAGAGTCAAGGATTCACTGGCATAGGTCAGTAGGGGTAAGAATATTGTCTTATACACTACTTTTTTGAACTTTTTAGAGGCTATTTTCTTTCATAGAAACCAAGATTTGAGTAAATGGAAGCATTTACCGGTCAATTTTATTCTCCCTCTGATTTCCCAGTCCATCCAGCCTTTTTTCATTGAGGTAAGCTCCCAAGTATTTGAATTCTCTGAACTGTTCCAGCTCCTTTTCCTTTAGTCGGGGTACTTGATCTCCACGTTCTTTCTCTCTTCCTATATTTGTTACTTTTGATTTTCTAGTATTAATCTCCATGTTTAACAATTGTAATTCTTCCTGTAAGATTTTTAGGTTGAATTATAGATTTCTTCCGTTATTCCTGAATACCACAATGTCATCAGCATAGGCTAGGATTGTGAGGTAAATTGGAGTTAATTCTCTGTGGCCCAGCCAAAACGGTCTCATTATTCTCTTTGCACTTTTTAAGGCCATGTTAAGGACCATTATAAACAGTAATGGGCTAAGACTACAGCCCTGCCTCATTCCTTGCGTGCCCTTGAACTCCTTGGATGAGTGGTTGTTGGTTCTCACCACATTTATTTGCTTTTTATATAAACTAAGTATAGCCCTCGCCAGACCTATTTCAACATTCAGTTCTTCCATAGCTTTGATTATATCCGTATTCTTAATCCTGCCGAACACTTGTGTCAGTTCCAAACTTCTTTATTCTTTTCCAAGACCTTCTCGGAGAGCTGTATCATTACAAATATTAGATCTTGTGTGTTTCTTTGTGGTTTTAATCCATATTGTTCCTCTTCTAGGGTGCTCTCGATGACTCTCATTAGCTGCTTTTCCAGGATTTTAGAAAAAAATCTTGCAATGTACACTGAGTAATGAGATACATTGGTGGTTTGAACAGTCCCTGCAGCTTCTTGTATATTGGGACTATAACTGATATTTCCCAATCCTTGGGAATCTTTTTTCTCTTTCACACGAATTCTTTATCCTGTCTGGGGTGATGCCGTCTATGCCTGCTGATTTACCCATTTTAAGAGTATCTATAGTATCTGCTATTTCCTTTTCTCCTATGAAGTCATCCTCTCCCTCAGCAGAGATATCATTACTGTCGGTATTTTGTTCTGTCGGATTTATTTGCCTTGCATTATCATTAAGCATTTCTTCAAAGTTTTCAGCCCATCTATTCATTATTTCCTCGCTATTAGTGAGAATATTGTTTTCCTTGTCTTTTGTGTGTTTTATGATTGGCTCTTTCCCTTTACCCCTGTTTCGAAGGCATCTATAGAAGAGCTTCTGATTTCCATGGGTGTCTTCCTCCAACTTTTTTCCAAAATCTTCCCATGCTTTCCTTTTTGATTGTATGACTTTTTCATTCTATTTCACCATTTTTCTCTTTTCTTTGTATTTTGTATAGTCATCAGGACTTTTTGTTTGTAGGTAGCATTTCCAAAGCTCCTTTGTCTATTTTATTTCGAGTTTTAAATCTTTATTCCACCAGGCTATTTTTAGTCTCTGGCATACTTTGGTTTTCTCAAAAACCTCCTCTGCAGCATCCAGCAATATCTGTTTTATTGTATTACAGCTTTTCTCTATGTCTTCTGAGTTTCAAAGGTATTGGATTCTTAGCTACTGTTTCTTCTTCAGTGGTTTCATATGCTTCTGATAATTCTTTGGACTTAAGCTTGTAGCTGTTTATCTTAAATATTTTAGTGGGGCTTGGTCTTTTCCTCTTTATTCCACATTATTTAAATGCTTAAATTGAATATAATAGATTTTAAAAGTAATTTTACTAATCATTAATATTAATTGTTTCAGCTTCTATCTTAGCAGACAAAGGTTATGATGTATGGTTAGGTGATTTGAGAGGAAACGCTTATTCTAGAAGTCATACTCACTTAAGTCCAGAAGATCCCGACTTCTGGGATTTCAGGTTAGATTTAATATTAGTTTCTTAACATTAATTGATTTATATAAAGGGAAAAGTTATATTTTTAATGCTATTATTTACATGTATCTATTGGGTTGTCTAGAAAAGAATGCAGCATTTTGGTTAAAAAAGAAAAAAGAAAGATTTACTTACAGAAAGCTGTTTTATGTAATCAATAGTCTCCACTACTATCAATACATTTCTGCCAACATGTTGGCAACTTTTCCATTCCCTTGGAAGAGAATTTCCCATGTTTAAAATTGATAAACTTCAAAAGCGCACCTTCTAATTCCCTTTGTCCATTAAATTTTTTGTCACGTAAGTAGTGGTCCAGGTGTCTAAAAAATGATAATTTGTCGGTGAGAGGTCCGGAAAGTAGGGCAGAGTTTCAGAGTTTAGTGGCAGAGTTTCATATCCAAGCTCCAACAGTTTTTATGACGTCACACATGAAACATTTGGCTGGGCATTTTTATGCAATAAAATGGGCCCCTTCTGATTGACCAAAGATGGCTTCATTATTGCCAATTTCTGATGGAATGCATTAATTTGGTTATAATACAATTCGGCATTGATGGTTTCGCCAGGTTTTAAGAAATTGTAGTGTATAAAACCAAATGAAGCCCACAAAACAGTAACCATAACCTTTTTTTGATGAGTTGGGGGCTTTGGAAAATGTTCTGCTGTTTCTCCTTTGTTGGGCCATTGTCCAGAAAGTCTACTGTTATCGTAAAATATTCATTTTTCATCACGAGGAACCATTCTTGACAGAAAAGTTTCAAGGTTTTGCTTTGGCAAAGAAGTTTAACACAAACTTTGTAACGCTGGTTTTTTTTGCGGTCATTTAATGTGTGTGGAACGCAAATTTCAAACTTTTTTACCTTTCCAATCGCCTTGAGGTAGTCATCGATGGTGGATTTGATAAGGTTAAGTTTCTCTGCAAGTTCTCCAACAGTTATTCAGGGGTTTTCTTCCACCAAAGCCTGCAGAACATCCTCACAAAGAGAGGAAGTCTTTCCACAATCTTCTTTGTCTTCAAGGCTGGAGCCTCCCTCCCGAAATTTTTTGAACCACTGTTAAACAGTGCACTCATTAATGCTGCTCTTGACTTGATTGATGTTTATGTCCATCTAGAGCCAATTCCAGCCGAGTTTAAACTCGTAAAACACAAAATTATACTAAAATCATGTATTGACATCTTAGTAAAAACTGAATTATTTCTAACCAGCGAAACGCTACGGAGGTAAACAAACATTATCATTTGGAAGAGGATTATTAATTATTGACATGAATAATTCAGTAAATGTAAACAGTTTGTTATATAGAGGGTTTTTTAAAGAAAACTGAAAATCCTGCATTATTTTCCAAACAACCCAATACATGTATCTATAATCAATTATTAAATTATTCGCATAATCTGATTTCTTGCTCTGTTTTTCAGTTTTCACGAATATGGTTACTATGATGTACCAGCTATGATTGACTATATTCGTCTAGAGACAGGCCATAAGAAAATCTTCTATATTGGATACTCCTTAGGAGGTACTGTCTTCTTTGTAATGGGAGCTTCTAGACCAGAATACAATAATAAGATTCGAGCAGGGATTACTATTGCTCCTTATGTTTCTTCTCCTCAGCTTAGCAGTGTTATATTAGCAACTTTCAGTATGATTGCTTCAATAATGGTATTAATTTGATCTACTTTTTATTTAGTATTAAAATATATGATATATAAATCCTATGCATTCTCTACTATAATATCCACACATATATTATTACAGTAAGGCTCGAAATCGGTTTTGTATCAAATATAAGCTCCTGTCATGCTCAAATACCCTGAATGGGGTTCCATTGGATTCAGAATTTCACAGGGGGTTAGCGAATCGTATTCTCCATTTTTGTTTTTCTTTCTAAAATAAATAAAGTAGATACAAACATTTTGCTAGGCTTCGATACTGACGGTGGTTGGTCTGTAGATCGATATGGGACAAATCGGGTCTTGAAGATTTTGATGCTTACAGCAAGACCCGGATAGTTCCTCATGCCCATGATTATAACAACGATTACTAAATTCCCTACAAAAGAAAAAAAAAATCATCGAAATCGATTAGAAATTTTCCCAATATTTTTTTTTCATTTTATTATTTATTTTTTCTTATCTTTGATTAATATTCATTAGGAGAGTAATATTATAGCCCATTTCATTTTTTGAAAATAACTATATATTTGGCATATAGCTATAGTATCAGTACGACGTTGAAACAATTTGTACTGACCGAAGGAGGAAAATGGGTTCAAATATTTTTTTTAAGGCAAAACAGAGTTGAGATTTGTATTTCACATCTCTATAAAGCCTCAAATACGAATTTTTATAGAAATCAACGAAATTATTTTTTTTTTTGCACCAAATCCCAAGCAAGCTTCTCTTCGATCTTCTTTCGAAAGTCACAAAAATTGGGGTAGCATAAAAATGACTCCATGTACCCTCAACAAAATTTACATTAACTTAGGTGTACATAAGCTACACTAAATGACACTAAACAGACCCCTGTAAATATAATAGAACTAGAGATATTAAACAAAAACCTTTGAGGAGTTTTTATATATTTATTGTTTTTAAACGCGTCAGATCTGATTAGTGAAGAGTAATAACCCAGCTTTCCAACGATCACAGATATATTGAATTTAGAAAATCCTGAGGAGTTATGAATCATATACTGAGTAGCAGAGGGAAAAATGAAATAAAAAGTCAAACCGCGTATCTATGGCAACACAGTCAACAGAACATTGCTATCCCTAACCCTATCATTATATCCACACATATATTATTACAGTAAGGCTCGAAATCGGTTTTGTACCAAATATAAGCTCCTGTCATGCTCAAATACCCTGAATGGGGTAACGTTGGATTCAGAATTTCACGGGAGGTTAGCGAATCGTATTCTCCTCTTTTATTTTTCTTTCTAAAATAAATAAAGTCGATGCAAACATTTTGCTAGGCTTCAATACTGGAACGGTGGTAGGTCTGTAGATCGATACGGGACAAATCGGATCTTTCTAGTTCCTCCAGAACTATCGGATCCTGCTTTTTTAAGCCCCAAAACTTACTATTTTCGAGATAAAGCAAGGCATAGGGTTCGCATCCACACAACCTTATATTAATTGTAGTGCTGTCATTGAATACATGTCTCATTTCGTCGACTTGAGGTCTCTATGATCGAGGGAGGAGGAGTTTATATTATTTATTGATGGTGTTTTTGATCGGCAAGCCATATCATCATTAATTTTTCACCAAATCTCAAGATTGAGCCACCAATTTCAAAGGCTTCCTTCTCCTCCAGGCAAGCAAAATAGTCCAATCACCCCGAAAATTCAGGCAAACAAGTTATGAATGAAAACAACTTTATTTGCAAATAACTAAAAAATTACACACTTTTTCGTTGGTTGTGCCCATGATTATATAAAATATTCCTAAATTCCCTACAAAAGGAAAAAAAAAATCATCAAAATCGGACAATTTTTAGCAATGATACAGCTTACTGAAATTTGTAAACATGTTGGTTCCAAACCAAAATGAATGTTTAAATTAATTTTTGTTTTCTTTGCCCATCATATTTATCGATAAATTAAAATTTGATTTCCTTATCTATTGATACGTTGCATTATTTTCTTTTCTTATTAATTTGGCATTTGATAACAATATGCTGTGTGAATTTTTCGCATGGGCCTACTAGTTTTAAAATATTACACTAGTACCAATATTGTTATGTAGGACCAAGATCATAGTTTAATATTAATTAAGAGTCATGACTACTTTATTATTAGTACCTGTCTTTTAAACTTTACTTCTCATTTAATTATATTATGTTAATATACTATATGTAGTAACTATTGTATTTTTTTATTTATATATCTTTTTTTTAGTTGAACCAAAAGCAGTATTTATGTATAAATAATTAAGGAAAATGGTAAATGGCTAATGTTAAAGCCTTTATAAAAAAGGGGAGGGACATGACCACAAGGGAGAGAGGATAATATAGTATTTTTTTTACAATATTTCTTATATTTCTCAATAAATATTGAATTATGAAAGAAATAATTAGCAAAAAAATACTTCTAAAAAAATAAGGAACAGTGAATTATATTTACAAAAGGTCTTACTTTTCCCAACAGTTTTGGAGATAAAGTTGGGGGACATTATAAAGTTGTGTTTGGAATTTTCCAATCGTATCCTAACAGTTATTTAATGCCACTTCTTTTCTCCTGTTTTATATTAATGTACTTTATATTTGAATAATAATAATAATATTTATTTATCAGTAAATTTAATTGTACAAATTAAGCCAAAAACCAATATATTAGTTATTTTTTTAAATTTTTGGATGAGCTAACTACAAAACTGGATAGGATATTTGATGAAGAAAATTTACTCTGGTTTGATTTTGTTTAGGAATAGTTACTTGCTAAACTATTAAAAATAATTTGACCTTTAATTAAATGGCTTCTCATCAATGGTGCTTGATCTATCCCCACAATCGGGAACTTTTAGTATGTTAAACAGAACACCAATGAGTAAAAATACCAAGTTTAAAACTTAATGAATTTTTTTTTCTCATTAGCAATGTTTTGGCTATTATGACCAATTAAAAATTAATTTGATATTAGATAAATTCTTTTTCATGAATCCTTATTAATCTATTACTGTTGTAATTTTATTTTTCCTGTTTTTTTTTTAAATATTCTTGAAGTATAATTGCTTCCTATTAGAGTCTTGATAAGAATTGAGAATATACACTAGCCATCATGTTGGTAAAATTTTTTTTTTTCATTTCTCTTAATATCTCTGTATCCTTAAAATGTGAGTCTGGAGACCTCCAATAATCTCAGCTTGTGTAGACTAATTATTAAGCATTATTAATAATTATTAATTCATCAGAATTACACATATTCTTTTACTTATGTTAGTTTGTTTTTTAGAGGCAATGGCGTACACTCCATGTATTTGAAGTGTTTCCCCGCTCAAACACAACTCTCGCAATAAACCAGATATTTTGTAAACCAAAATCAAGGCTTTTGCCCGTTTGTCTTCAAGTATATGACCAAGTATTTGGACTAACAAGTGAACTTGACCAGGTAATAATTTTTCAAAAGGTATATGTGTCTATGTTTTTTAATTTTATAAAAAGTGGTATTTAAAATATGAATTAATAAAATATATTATTACAATAGTCAGATACCTTAAATAAATGCAAAAAGTAAATGATTCCATGTAAACTCATTTAAAATCTATAAGTGGCTTTTGTAGTGCCTTTAAAATACTCTGTCTGAACAATTTTTAAAATGTTCTCAGTAATTAATACTATTGACTAACTGTTTTACTCTTCTAGTCCTTGCATGAACCTCAAAGATGCACTGTGAATGATATTTTATTCCTGTATCTGAATGAGAGAACTGGTGGAGACTTTCGAGGTTTCCATCTTGGCTTCATTCTCTCACAAGTGAGTGTGAGCTTGGATTGGACACAGTAGTGTTCTTCAGAGTCGTAACACATCTGATAGGTCTATGCAACAATTCTGAAGTTTTTCAAATTTCCTTTTTTTCTATTTTTTTTTTTTTTTTTGCGCCTGTGTGTGGATTTGTGTACCTAAACTGTAGCAACGATTTGTTTATGAAAACATATAATTCTATCTCTGTTAAACAATCTTTGCACTTGTGAGGATCATGTGACAATTTGAGAGACATTATGTTTGGTAGCTGCAGAGGCTTGTGTCACCATTTTGAGATGGATTGCGAGGTTGGATATTATCAACATTTGAATGTCTATCAGTTCTTTAGATCTGATAACCAAGAATCATATTGAATAATTGCTACTCAGAATGAAGAAGGAAACAGAACCACTAGAGCAAAAATAGAATGTTGTGCATTTAACTCCAACAAGTCGACAGGAAAGAGCACTTATTACTGCTGCAGTTTGAATGGTAATCAACTATGTTCAAAATACATTTATGCAATGAGAAGTTCATGTTTTGAAAGGGGGAATTTTGAAGAGGAGATATTTTTTTACTTATATAAGTGATACTGATAAATGTTTGAAATATTTGATTTATTTTTGTCGTTTTTTACTTGTATATTCCTCTTAGTAAGTGAAAAATTTGATGACATTGGGAACCTGGCTACTAAATTTATATTATTCTCAACACTAGACATAGTACGGGCATATCATTATGTCTCCATTGTTGACAGAGTATCCATAGAGTCACTGAGTGACCATAGACAGCAGTAGTCATACCCTTATGATTATTTGAGTCACTCTTAGAAATGCAGCTCAGATTTTTCAGAATCCTATTCCATCCAGTTATCCAACGCTGTCTTGATCCAAGTTCCACTGAACAAATGCTTTATAACTCTTACCAGAAGACCCTACTAATTGGGCTCAAGGAACTATCCAATCCTCAAAGAAAAATATGAGAATTTTTAGTGAAGAGAAAAAACTTGCTCACCCTTCCAGAATTTGAAAAGCAAGCATTAGCTTGATGCATCAAACATTGGAATTGAGGCGGTATTAAAGCAGAGCAAGGATGGTATCTGGTATCTATGTATAATATAGTTAAAATTTCAATTTTTAGTTATTTGGCAATAATAACTTCCAATTGATAACAATTGAGTATATTTCTATTATCAACGTTACATGTTAACAAGTTAGTTGACATTTCGGGATATTTATACCCATATTTGGAACTGCAATCTCAATAATCTTGTGAATGCAAGGCTTAAAAAATAAAGAAAAAGCAGGATGTTGCTCAAGATGATACATTTTAGAACATGAATTAGAAATTTGACGATGGAGCACATTATTTTTAATTTTAAGCCTTGCATCCACAAGATTATTGGGATTGCAGTTCCAAAGACGGGAATAAATATCCCAAAACGTCAACTAACTAATTTACATGTAACGTTGAAAATAGAAATATACTCAATTGTTACCAATTGGAAGTTATTATTGCCAAGTAACTACAAATAAATAGACAACTTCCCAGAAAAAAGAAAAAAGAAGAATTAAAATTTCAAGTAAAATTGTTTATTCTCTGGTATAACAGTTGGAAATATATTTTTGACCTCAATGATTTTAATAATATTTTAATGAATTGATGATTTACAGGATGTGCTATTAGATGTTGTGAGTACCTTTAGAGCTGGGTCCTCAGCAAAAACTTTAAACCACTGTGCTCAGGTTATGTACGCAAGTATGTGTATGATTATATGTGTTTAACAATAATAGTAATAATATGTGAATATGATTTAAGTGACTTTTTTTTCAATAGCTATTATTTTATTTTTTAGTGGAATCAGCTACAAAATATCCCTTTTATATTTTAAAATGTTATTATTTTTAAAGCTCTTATGATTCTGTAACTGTAAAATATATTCATTATTAATAGTGATTAGCTGGCTAGACTTTCTCTATTATAGTTTCGACTGGTCCTGTTACTGTTAAAAATTGTTTGTCTAGTTTCTGATACGTTAAAACCTCCTTTGAAGCAAAGCAAAATAATTCTTAGAACTACTGCCATTAAGCAACCAACAAGTTAAAGTAGACTATTATGAACGTGGTGCTGTTATTAATAAATGTTTTATTTCCAATATTATATTAATAACGATGTGGATACCTTACTTGGATAGTTTATTAAAGTTAACATATTTAAATATATAAATAGTTCTATTTATATGCTATTCTTGATTTCCAACAGGGCCATATCCTTGTTCATAAATATTAAATCATTGAGTGCTATACGTACTGTATTTTGAATTTAATTTAAAATAACTAATACTCCTTCAAATTTGTGTTGATATAGTTTTAAAAATTATTTAACTTAATAAAATAATAAGCTAATGTATAGTATGAAAAAATATGCTTAAAAAAATCTATACTATATAGAAATAATTTCTGCTGTAATCCCATAATGGATGATGCACAAATCTGTCGATATTAAATTACAAATGATTTTACTAGTACTTTTTAATTACAAAAAATTCTAATCATCTATCATTCTGTTCAATTCATTCTAATCTATCAAAATAGCTTCATATTGTGATTAAAATTAAACTGCTGTTAAATTGAATACATTGGGGAAATAAATTCATTATTAGCTGTTTGAGAATAAAAAAAATCTCAAAAATTTAATAAAAACAAATTGAAACATGTAATAGTTTTATTCTTTTGGCTCATATTAAGAAACTCAAATTGTAAGAACACATTTGGCTTTGAAGCTTTGTGCCCAGGATTGAAGTGAGCCAGAACCAACAGCCTTATAATCATAATATGGCTTGACTGTTTCAACAGATCCAAAAAATTTCAAGACTATTGTCACAATTCTGCCATCATTCCAACATCGCTAGTTCAGCATACTGAGTCTAGAAAATCATTGTAATTGAGTGAAACAGTGACAGACCTTTACTCAAGTAAACGTCTCTGTTCCATGTGGATACTATCACTCTTTTTCTTATTAATATTGTTGCAAGGAACTTATAAATTCATGAACATTTATATATATAATTTAAACTTAACTATTTAATTGGGAATAAGGTCACTTATTTTATTTAATACATATATTAAGTAGCTTAATATATGTATGTGCTGGTGGACAGTGCTGGGGGACTGTCAGTGTATCCCTGGCCTGATCGAGGCTCTATTTTTTAAAATTCTAGCTTTGAGGAGGATCCCATCGTTGACTTATAAAAAGAAAATACCGGGATCGAAACGTCAATAAGTATTGAAGAAATGAACATCCAATAGTTTATTAAATAATTAATAAGTGACCTTATTCCCAATTAAATAGTTAAGGTTAAATTTAATACTCAAAGGTCGATAAAGGAAAAGTTATAAAAATATATATATATTAATAAATGATATCGATTAATAAAAGTTGATATTGATTACAGATTCTTTAAGATATTATGATTATGAAAGTGAAGAAAATATGAAGAGGTATGGAGACATTATTCCTCCTGAATATAATTTAACAAAGGTCACGTCACCTGTTTCCATTCACTACAGTTTACAAGATTCATTTGTAGACCCTAAGGTATTGTCATATTTATAATAATATAATAAAACACAATGATAATTTAAGAAATTTTCTATCAGATTTATTGTAATTAATAAAATGAATAACACTTATTAAATTGTTTATGACAATATTAAATAATGGCTTTAGCAATAAAAATTATAACTTATAAGAAAATGAATACCATCCATTATCTTTTGGAAACAATTTTAGATAAAGCAGCAATATGCTAATCATTAATGATAATTTCTATGTCCCAGAGATTTAATTAATTCATTTACTGAGTTTTTACGATTTTAAGAATGTTAAAAAAATCTGTCGAGGTGGGCGCATCACAGAAACTTTCATTGACAACCTTTTTTGAGTAGAAATAGGTATTGTCATTCATAGGGAAGTAGAAGTGAAAATTATAGATGGTAGAGCATATTGAAGGAGGTGGGGTGACTGAGTGGGTTGATGCATGTGCAAAACAAACATTGCCCAGCAGCTTGATAAACTGAAGATTTATCTTATAAATATAAGTATCGGTGCCAGAGGTTTTAAACTCTGGCATAATTCTCTCACCCTCTCTTTTGTCCTGAGAAAAAAACAAAAAACGTATTGCCAAAAAGGTTAGGTAGGAAAAGAAAAAAAAGATGGTACAACATATTATTTAAAACAATCGATTACTATATGTTTTCCCCACTGGTTTAGTCTATAAAATTTATGTTTTTTTCATCACTAAACACTTCTTACTATGACTGTACATTTTAATTATTTATCTAATTACAATAAATAATTAGCACCACCATTTTTTTCAGTCTTAAAAAAGTGCTAGTGATACAGCAGGCCAATATATTTATTTATACTTCATTGCTGGTATTTTTTTACATTCCAGGCATATACCTACTTTAAATGTGTAATTTCACTTCCTTACAACATATGGTTTTTGAGCTAGGCTGTTCACACACACTCGCGCAATTTATGGTTCTATTATTTTATGGTTCTTTGTTATTTATATTCAGAGAACCATTTTTTCATTGAAAGCCAAATTTTCACAATCACATTACTTTTCCTTATTGTATATTCATATATAGATAGGTGAAAGTAAAAAATACTATAGCTACCTCTCATCAGAAGCAATATTTTAGGCAGTAGCTGCTAATGAGCAAGTTATCTGCCATATTTAGATTGCAAATTAAATATAATTAAATTTTAAAAATTGGCACTTAGGTCACGTCTTCTAGTGTCACTGAATACTTTCAAAATGATACTATTCTAGATTAATTATTTGTAATGAAAAATTAAAAGTAGGTACCTTTACTAAAAGAAAACCTGAAGTTCTGCTTGTTCAAGTTTTTGATCAAATCACTGTTATTTTAGATATTTTATAATACTTAAATTGGTTTTCCTACCTTTGCATAGAATTAATATTGTAAAAAGTACTAATTATGCATTGATTACAGTAGGTGTTTAACTCTTACCAGTTATCAATTATTATCTTAATACCATTTGAAGCACTTAGAGGACTACTTAAATTTTCTTCCTCCCTGTCTCTCCCAGAAAACCGAATCAATTTCAGCATTTATTTTCTTTTAGACTACAAGTTTTTATTAACAAAGAATTGAAAAAACCTCGTAATAGATATAATTTTGAAAAAGCTGAAGAGCATATGTTTATTAATATTAGCAAGTAGATAAGATTCATTCATGTTTTATTAGTATTGACAAAAAAATATATAATAATTTTATTTTGTATATTTAATTGTTTTAGGTAATAGACAAGTTAGCTAAAAAATTGCCAAAATTAATTGGAACATTTGTTGTTTCTTCGCCTAGTTTTAATCATATGGATTATGTGGTTGGTATACATGCAAGAGAACTGGTATATCAAGATATATTCAATATTATATCTAAGTATTAAATCAGTGCAAGTAATTTTAAGGAAATAAAATAAGTTAATTTAATTTTTGATAAATGTAAAATATTATTAATTAATAGGAAAATATAGTACAAACAGAATTAATTAATGTATAAAGTTAATCAAAAGACTGTAAAATAAAATAATGTTTGAACTTGGCATAAAATAAAATGTTATCTCATAAAGAAAATAATAGCTATTATGTTCACCTGATTATTTCCTTATTTCATCACTATTATGTATTAAGACACTGATTTATCTTTTGTGTTACATATCAAGAAACAGAATCGAAGAATACCTACTGGATAATTTTCTTTCTCATCTTGCCATTTTTTGTTACATTTGTTTATTGTTATTACATTTGCTGGTTGTCAGTGAACATTGATAGTTGTGAATTAAAAACTAAAGAGAGAGAGATAAAAAATGAAATTGAAATTCATCTTGATAAAAGAATTAATAGATGATCTTATAGAATTTTGTATGAGGTTCTTGATTCTTTTTTTTTTTTTTAAACTAAGGTGTGTGCTTTAGATCACACAATATAAGTGAAAACATCTAAAAGGCGAGATTAATAATATGAAATATAAATTATAAATAATAGCCTCATTACAAAGAAGATGAAATGTTGAACATTTCCCTTGCTCACAGTATGCAATTTGATTTTTAGTATCTGAAATATTTAAATCCATATCTTTCATTAAACTTATTTATTTATGCCTCCCTTCCTTGCCTTTCGGCTACATGAGATTTTACAGGGATGGCATATCACACACGTGCATGCCATTCCTGATATTAAACCACAAATTAATTGTCAATTATCTTTTTTTTTTTTCAAATCTATTCTTTTTTCATTATTTCATTTTCACCATATTAGCCTTTCGACCTTCCATTAGCAGGTCCTCTTCTTCCCAGATTAAAGTGGGAGGGCCCCAGAGCAGCTTTCCACCCGTACACAAAATCTATCTAATACGGGTAGTTCTGCTCCGTCACTAACTGGGGAAATTCATCCTCTGTGAGGCCATAGACTCCAATTTTTCTCATCATTTGGGCCCTTAGTCCATCAAAGGCAGTGCAGTTGACGATGATGTGCTCAGCTGTCTCCGGTACTCCGCAAGTGGGGCATAGGGGATCTATGTCTTTTCCAAAACTATGTAACTTAGAGCGGAAACCTCCATGTCCAGTAAGGAATTGAGAGACCCAGTAGTCCAGGAAAAAGTTGTTCCTTTCAAGGTAGTTACCCACAGCCGATTCCACTCATCTGTGGTATCCTCCCGGATAATTCTCCTCCATTTTCTTGGGTCTTCTGCAATCCACACCCGGATATTCTCCGGAAGACTTGCTGAGCCTTCTCTTTTTAACTTAAATATCAGCGAGTCTTCTCGCAGGAGAAGGTCGAGAGGTACCCCTCCTGCTAAGATCTGCACCGCCTTGTGAGACACACTTGGGTATGTCTTGGTGACACGCAACAGAGCTGTAAGTTGAATTGTTGCCAATCTACGTTTCTGAGGGTGTGAGAAATTCTGAGACCACGCAGGAGAGGCGTACCTCAGAATACCCACTATCATTCCATTGTAAATGGTCCTCGTAGCTGGGTATCTGAGGCCCCAAAATGCACACCCTAGGCGACTAAAGCCATTCAAGGCTAGGGCCACCATATTTCCTAAGTAGTCCAAATGAGGGGTCATATTAAATTCTCTTCCAAACCTTATGCCAAGGTAGGGGACCACCTCACTTAGACGTACTCTTGTTCCCTGTATACATAGATTGATAGGGTGTGCCCTATCCGTCTTTTCCTTCAGCTGGATCGCCTGGGTCTTTGATGCGGCCTTTCTTAACTTCATCCTCTCACACCATTGCCCGACCAGATTGGCGCACCGCTCTGCTTGTAGTTTTATTCCGGCTCTGCTGTTTGACGCTACAACTGCCGCCAAGTCATTGACGTAAGCCGTAGTAGCAGGGAACCGCTCATCTTCGAGCAGAACCCAGCAACTCATCAAATACTAGCTTCCATAGAGTCGGACCAAGGACTGATCCCTGAGGGCATCTATGGAAGCTTCAATTTCATAACAGCTACCTCTGACCTTAACAAATCTGTCCTGGAGGTAGCTACTTACGAGGGGGTATAGATTGCTGGGGGAAAAGTACTTCTGTAACTGCTGACACCGTCTACACTATCCACCAGACACTATCTTCCATTAAACTTGTTATCATTTGGTTTTCGACACTATTTTTTCATATTTGCTTCCTGACACGGGGTCGCGTTAAGATAAAATTTTGAATTGTAGCCAATTACAGAGAGGATGAAATGCTGTACAATCTTCCCGCTTACAGTATGCAGGCCCGATTTTTAGTTTCTGAGATATTTTAATCCAATATGGAAAAACATTTCAATTAGTCGACTATAGCCAATTTTACCCGAGCATTAAAACTTTAAAAATCTGAGAGATTAATCTAATTCACTCTCCACAAATAAGTGCATAAGACACCTAAAGAAGTTTTCACTTCAAAAACACTCACTGATAACTATGGTTCCTTGTAAACTTAAATTGCCTATAAAAAAGGATAATTAAATATTTTGAAAGTACTATGCACCAATCAGTCCAGTTCAGTTCAGTAGCATAAAGCTGACAATTGAAAAACATACTGTCTAACTGTAATATGCAGTGAATTGATGATGTCATATTTTCAAAGTAATAAAGGATATACAATTAATAAAGGAATAAAGGATGGATAAAAAATGTGATATGAGTAAATTCTCTATAAGGCTTTGGATATGTACATATAAATTATTATTGGGATATAAATAATATACAAACATTTATAAAGCTTTATAAAAAATATGTGACTAGAGACCATCATTAATATTGAATGGTTCAATTTCATATCATAAATATGTCTAAAAAAAAAATATAACTTTTTATTGAGTGGTTATTTACTTCCATGCATTGACGGACTACTATCCACTCCCGATAAACTATCCAGAAAATCAACAACATTACTAAACAAAAGTTTGTATAAATTTTTGCCATAAATAAACTCAACATGGCCGTAAGTAGGGTCAGGTACTGCCATTGCATGCCTTATGTTTCCAATGTTTGAAAGTGTAATTTTCGTGGCCTATAACATTTAAAGAGATTTATTTATATTTAACTGTAAAATAAATTAAATTAGAATTAGACTTTATATTAAAAAACACACAACTTTCACTTACTGCTCCACTTTGATGAGAAATTATTTTGGGCTAATATAAAATTTTTGAAGGCATTTCTAATGTAGCTACAGCTTAAAGCTTACAGCTAAAAATCATTAACACCACTAATATAACAAAAAATATAATAAATATATTTCAACAGTAGGCAATAAAAACCTCATCTTTTTTATAAAGCACACAACCACTTTCTGAGCTATGTACCTATATACATACCTAGAGATATTTGAAAGTATATCTGTATATTCTACCTATAAATGGTTATGAATTGAAAACGACTCTTAGTTATTAAACTGCTATTTTCCATTTTAAAGTTTACTAAAATGAAATTATGAGATTTTCATTGCTTGCCATAGATAGGTTGTCACACTAATTTTAAGTGGGTAATGTTGTGATATCACAAAGGGAAAACTTATCAAATGATTTATTAATTTATTTAAATTATTACTAATGTATTTAGGTTATAAACATATGCTTTATACATCCATGAAATATTTTTATATTTCACTTCCTCTTTCACAGTAATACAATGAAATAGTATTTTAAACAATGTCATTGTTCTAATTTGGTGAATTGTCAATACTTTTCTCCAAACTTAAAATTTTTTTTATAAGTTTACATTTATTAAGAAAATATTTAAAAGCCAGTTTTTATTGGCCTTATGTGGGGCCTAAATCTAGATTTATTTGAGATAACTAATTGAAATAGCACAAATGAAAATGCTGAAATTATCTGTAATAATCGAATTCTTATGTTTCAAAATTTATATCCTAAAGCTTGTAGTTGCACAGAAAATCCATAAGATATGTAATTGTATAGAAATTAGCATAAAAATTACTTTGATATAATTTACAGTGTGGAAAATCACTATATTTTTAAGGGCCGTAATAAAGATTTTAACTAAAAAACAAAACAATATTCTAATTTTTGGCAACCAATAAAATATATTTGATTTTAGTAGTAAAGTAATTAACTTTTTTTGTTTGTTTTATTGGATCATTACTTAATACTAATAATTAAATAATAAATTAGTAACTTACTTCATATGGTATAAGTTTATCTATTTTTGAATAATAAATAGCTGTCGGTGACATGATTTTTGAAAGACTATAAGAAGGAGGTTCATAAGATCCATACTTCTCAAAGTTTACATTGGGACCCCAATTATACTTTTGGGTGCCACCTGAAATAAAAGTAATCAAAATCTGTAAATGTTTTTGTATAAATTAGATTTATTAAAAAGTATAGTGAGTGAAAAAACAATAAAATAAAAAAATGAAATCCGCTTAAATTTGTACTTTTTTGTTTTATTGAAAATAATCAATTTATCACAAACAATTTAAAAATAATTATCAAATTCTATGTTCTATATTAACATGTTAAGGTGCATTTACACAATTCACAAACTAGGGGAAACACAATTATCTAATCCAGAAATCTTCAAACTTAATGGTTCACAGGCCACATTGAGACTTCGAATAAGTTCCACGATCCACATTGAGACCACAAACCAAGTCCTGCAGACCATAGCTTGCGATTAAAAAAAATGTTGTTCTATAAATGGCACTTCAGCTATGATACGATCTTTTTAAGAGACAAAACCTATGCAATAAATATTTTAGTAACCAAGTGTGTGACTAATTTACTAAATTTAAAATTTTAAATCGTTTTTAAAATTTTACTATTTAATCACATAAACTTTAGCCGCATTGAAGGTGCTGGTTCGGGCTGGTTCCTGCCCTCAGGCTGTAATTTGAAGATCCCTGATCAAACTTAACTAACGAAGACATTATTTGTAAACCAAACTATTTATTTTTTTTCTCTTGATACCTATTGTAGATGAAAAGTATCAAAAACAGGAAACAAACATATTAGCTCAGTGAAATAACCATTTATATATTTGTTTGTCCCATAGTTTGTGAAATGTCTAAACACACGTTAAGAACTAAATACAGTACTAAGAAATATATCAACAGACCTAACTAAATAATATTAAAAATATTAATCTGAAAAAAAAAACTTGATTTGGACACAGACGTTAATATTAAATATTAAATTTATAATAAGCATACAGAGATGGCTGACTATTTTTTGTTTCCATAGGAATACAAAAAAAAAAAAAATAAAATAAAAAAAAGCAAGTCTAAGGTGCATTAATATTTAGTTGTTGGATATGGAATCTCCATTTCAAATTAAAGTTAAAAAAAAAAATTACCTAAAACTGGAAAAGTTTTTTCGAAAGTATTTATTTTATTTTTCAAAAGTATTCCATTTTTATACTATAAAGCTGTAATATTAAGAGTTTTGGAAATAAATAAAATCAGTAAATTTATATATATATTTTTTTTTTTTTTGTTAAATTTGTTATTCGTCGTAAACCAACAACTTCCTGTCCTACAGTTTCCTTTAACAATACTCCACTTATCCCTGTTGAGCAAATCCGATACCTAGGACTCCAACTGGACAAACGACTAACTTGGAATCCTCATACTAGACTGAAACGACAAGAAACCGCTTGACGTTTCCGATTACTTCAGCACTTACTAGACAAACGCTCTAAAATTCCCATTAATTACAAAAGACTCATATACTTGACTATAATAAGACCTATTTGGACTTACGGAGTTGAGCTATGGGGCTCCACTAAACCATCGAATTCCTCTCGCATCCAATCCTTACAATCCAAAATTTTTCGTAAAATCCTCAATGCTCCTTACTTTGTCACTAATAAAATTATCCATAAAGATCTTAATGTTCCTTATGTTTCAGATTTGGCCCAATCCAGATACCTATCCTTCCATAATAAACTTCAGAATCATCCCAACCCTCTCGTTTCTAACCTTGCTTCCTCTTCAATTCTTCTTCCTCTTCAGGCGTCTGAAAAGAAGATGGCCCCGTGATCTCCTAATATAGTCATATCATTAGAGTGCTACCATTGGGTAGTTACTCAGCAAGTGTATTCATGTCATTATATCAATTATGTCCAAATTTACTTGATGTATTTATGTAATACAGTTGTAAATGTCATAAAGAAATAAAAAAAAAAAAAAATTTTGTTATTAAATTATTTTTAAAAATTTCCACAGTCACTCTGGGAATAACCTTAGTAACATCAACATTTAGGCGGTTTGAAATAGATTTCTAAAATGTGTTATTATTTCTAAAAAAATCGATGTTTAATTTTTGTAAGGTATTTATAAACTGAAATACCTTTCCTTGTTAGTTGAATCAAATGTTGAACAGATCTGATCGATGATCCTGAAGCAGTCTCTCCCAGGGTGTATCCACCCCAATTCTGGAATGCAATATAAAGAAAAGGTACTATCAGTTAAATGTTTTCATACATGAAATAGTTGTGTATACTTTAGTAATGATGGAACTGAATAAGAAAATGTAAGCTAAGTAGAAGAAAAAGATACTAAATTAATTTATGTATGAAATACAATACTTTCTACTATTCATTTGTATTTCTAAACATTCTACGAATTTGTCTTCTGAAGTGAATTTCATAATATTCTGATGTATTAAGTCTAGCAATATATAAAGATGTTAAAATTGACTGTTTAAAATTAATAAATGAAGCAAATTAAACAAAGAAAACATCGAAATGAAAAGTTTTTTAAAATAAGATAAGAAATAGTTAATGTTTTAGTAGGGTCAATTCTACTTACAATTTATAAATTGATTTACCGTTTGAATATATTGAGTAAAATCTTGTATGCAATCTATTTAATATTATCGATAAAAACCAAAACTTTTTTTGTAGTAAAAAGTTGTAGTTATTCAAATACTTACGGGTTCCATATTGTTTCTATTAAAGCCAGCTATCATATCAAGTCCCCAATAACAGAAAATACCAGAAATGGGACTATTGCAAAAGTCCTTTAGCCAAGCATCAAAAGAAGGGCTTCCATTAGAGACAGTTAATACACCAAAGACCTTCAAAATGCCCTGTTTTCACCCAAAACATGTATTAATTAATATTAAAAGAAATTGATTGCAGAATATAACATACATTAAACTTGATTAAAAAAAAAAACAATTAAAAAAAATAAACGATTTTCAGTCATTGAAATAGTTTTTAAGTTTTGTATTGAAATTGATGTCTTTCAGCCTAGTTGATCAACATAAAAATAATTTGAATGACCCAAAGGAGCAATTGCCTTCGTGAGCTCGTATTTCTGGCTGCTGCACAGTGGGGCTGATCACCGATCTAGGAAGTCAAAAATAACTTACAAAATATGAGATATTTAATGTAAAATACTTTCTATAAATAGTTGGTGATCTATAAAATGGTCTAGTAAAATTCCAAAATTCATTTAAACTCCCATCATAGAGTGCAGAAGAATAATGTTTGAGTGAGCAGACCTTCAGTCCTGCCAGTTGACAAATAACACCAGCATTACTTTATTTATAGTTCATATCAGTGCCTGTGTAAGTTATTGTTCAAGACTACTTTTGATAATTCACTTAAGTCACTTTTCAACTGGATTAATTTAACTTCAACCAGTTTAATGTGAGTTTCAATTGCATTTAAAAAATGGCTATGAACAAACTTTTGAAACATTGTACATAAACAACACTTATGCAATTAATGAAGTATCCTTTCAGGTATTCAACCACTACATTTTTTTTTTTTCATTTTGTAGCATTTTTTATATTATTTAAAGAAATTATCAACAAATTTTGTTCAAAACTGTGCAAGAAATGGTTTTTAAATTGTTTCAAAAGCTGTAAACAATATTTCTAGATTCACATTTTTTAAATATAACAAAAAGTTGTGAATTATATCATAAAAATTTTACAAGTTTAAAAGACAATTTAGCTTATTTTCTATAAAAAATTAAAAAGCATTGGAAAAATGCTCAGAAAAGATTTTTTGTTAATTTTTTTTTTTTTTTTTTTATAGAAATATGTTATGACTGAAGCAAATTTTCTAGACGTTTGAATAATCGTCACCGGTCTTCTCCAGGTTTCTAGGGAACAAGGAGGTCAAATAATGTTTATCTGTTGACTTTAAGTATGCTTCGAAACAACTAACGAGCGGAAAGTATTGAATATTCTATAACAGGGTTGCCGAAGGGGTTGCATAGCGCAAGTTGCACCATCAAAATTTTGAGGTAGCATGTTTTTAAGGAGCTATGGATTTTTGAGGAGAGAAGGCACATTTTTACAGACTGTGTAGACAAAGGAGGGAAAAAAGAAGAAATAAAAGTTAAATTTAAACTACAGTTAGGAAACGATTGTGAGGTACTTTAGCTGGAGAGTGAGCTTTCTAATGATGTTTATTATAAAGTTAGAAAACAGATTAAATTAATTTGAAAACGTTCATGCTAGATTTCTTTTTATTGATATTATTGTTATTTTTTTAAAAATTCTTTTGAATCATAATTTTAAATTTTAATTTTTTGACATAAATTATATATACATGAAATTAATTAAGACCATAAAAGTTTTATTTGTGATAAATACACAATTTCCAATCGAAAATTACTTTCAATGATTTCTCTCCTCCTAGATTAGTTATCAACCCTAATCATAGTGGGTCGAGTGAGAGAAAACTGGTGACATTGGCTAACATTATTGTTTTTTTTTCAAGAACTCCAAAAACTAGATAAACTATTTTATTGATAATTCTGGAATCCGTGAGAATATTTTCAGTTAGCAGAATATACATTTTTTACTGTAAACTTTACCAACTATTTACTGTCCTTCTACTCAACTAGAAATATATACAATAATGTATAAAACCTGTTTTACTTAGAATCTTTTCCTTTTTTGTTAACAGAAATAGGTGTTTTTAAATCAAATTTTTACTTTTAAGGAGTCAGTGTTAAAGAGAAATTCGTATCAATTTTAACCGCCATGACCCGCCTAAAGGTAGTTAAAAATATTTAAAATTATTTTTGTATGTATGAACGTCCGAACAATTTCTAGTTATGTACTATTATCTTCTATAACTGGGCATGCTCTCAAGGCAAACACTGAAACTGCCAGCCTTTTAACATACAGGGGATCAAAAAAGTATTGGCACACCTTACTTTTTTCATGTTTCATTGTTAAAAAATCCTAAATTCCTCAGTTAAACATTTTTATTTAATAAAATATTTTTAAAAAAATACATAATTGAGAAAAAAAAATTAAATTTATTTAATTGAAAAAATCAGTAAACGAAAAATAATTTCAACAGGGTCAAAAAAGTATTGGAACACTTACATTTGAGGGTTATTTCACGAACTGGATAAGTATTAATATTTTTCATGATACCATTGGCATCTATGACACTGTGGAATCTTCTTGGCATCATCAAAACAAGATTTTGAGTTAGGTCTAGCCCATTTTTCTCTCTTCCCATATTTCTCTGACAAAGTTTATTTTAAATAATGTTTTGAAGATATTTTATTTTTTTTTTACTTTGAAATCCAACAGATACATACATATTCTATGGCATTTATGCCAAGAGGCTGTGGTGCCGTTTTCCATTGGCTGGTATCTATGTATAGCATCCATTCTTTTGTTTTATTTGCTGTGTGCCTGGTGTCATTATCCTGTTGGAAGATAAATGCAACTTTGATCCTCATATTTTCGGCTCTACTTGTTAAATTGTGTCGCAAAATGTCGACATATTGGTTGGCATTCATAATATTGTCAATAAAGGTTAAGTTTCCTTTATTAATAAAACCTGGATACTTCCACCTGGTGTTTACAGGGACCTCACATGTTGAGTTTGAACTCAATTTCAAGTTTCCGCCGAACGAACTTGTGGCCATTAGAATGGAATATGTTAAACTTACTTTTATCTGAATTAATAACATTTTTCCAGAGTTCGAAGTCTTTATTAACTTAAGTTTTTGTTAAGTCAGGTGTTCTTTTGTGATTTACCTCTGTAATAAAAGGTCCTTTGAAGCCTGACATAATAATTGTATAGTTATAAGAATTATATTTCTAACAGAAGTTGATATTTGAAGTATATGCGACCTCTTCTACTATTTCGGCGGCTGATAAAGGGCGATTTTGCTCTACAGTTTGATGGATATACCATTGTGCCCTCCCATTTAATTTTGGTGGCCTTTCTGAACGGGGTTTATTTAAAACTTTCTAAACTTTTGTGCAATATTCTGAACACTACTGAAACCAATTTCTTTTTTTTTTTTTTAAACTGACAAAATATTGACGGGTGCTTCACTGTCTAACAGATAGACACCGATTTTCGTAACTCGTAAGTTTGGTATTTTGTTTTTGTGGGAGAGTGTTCAATGCTATTATTATTTTTTTCTTTTCACATTTCCATATTGTGTATTATTTTTAATACAGTTGTAAATTTCAATAATATAATTTTAAAAAAAGGTACTGTATTAAGCTTAAGGGGCCTCAAAACATGTCAAATTTACATCAACGCCACCTACACACTGTTCGATCCACTCTTCGGTAACATCATTCAGGGTAACTTGCTAAGTTTTACCTTTACACGAACGTTCTATATCAGGCATTCCAAAAAAAAAAAAAAAAATTGTTATGGGGTTATGAAACGAATTTAAAAGGTACTCCAAAACATCAACCGTTGACCTGAAATATGGTGTAAAAGTCTATTTATTTTTTAAATGAAATAACAAGAAACAAATTATAGGCTTGTCATGTTTATATCCCTGCCACCAATCACCTAATAGGAGTACAAAGACCAAACAAATATTACGTTATAGACTGTTGATCTTCGATGCTCTAGGATTTTAAAGATTAGACGAATAACATACTTTTATGAAACATTGCAGATTCATTTAAGAAGAAATAACTAATTGTAAATATTCATATTTTTTAAATCTCTTTTATTTTTTCCCTGTCTTAACTTTACGGTTTTGATTTTCAGACGCATGATAATTATGTTATATAACAGTGTAGCTTGAAAAAAAACTCTTTTTATTTTAACTTGATGGTGCAAAAAACATTAGAAATAAGAAAAATAAAAGAAAATCATTTCATATCTTCCAATCCCATTTTTCTTCCCCTCAAAATATCAACCTTGAAGTGACAGTTTTTTTTATTCATTGTTATAAATTTCATTTTTTTAAATAAAAATAAGTTTTGCTTAATAGAACGGTCGAGGTGACTACTCGAAGCTAAAAGGAGGGTTATATGTTTGTGTCTAACACGTAGGAATGTAACGATTTGTTTATTGTAAATAACTTTGATGCCACTATCAGCGAGATTCTCTGAGTGTTTTTAAACAATTTGGGCTCAAAACACTGACTGGCTGCTGTAAAAAATGTGTTTAATCTATCTATTAAAAAGTATCCAACGAGTTTTTGAGGGAACGGTCCGACTAACGTTCAAATTTAAGTAGTTTAAATATACTCAGTCTTGAATGGTTTGAAACAATTTGATCTACTGAAACTCCGAAGGAGAGTACTTTTAAGAAATAGCCCTTTGTACAATCTCGGCTAGATGTACAATGGGTCTTCCCTGACTATTGGGTTTCACAATTACTTACGTGGCATACATCGAGCTACATAGCTTTGACTAGGACATAGACTCCCAATGTCCCAGTTGTAGGATTCTGGAGACCAACGAGTACGTGTTCACGACCTGCATTCGGAGGAATAAGGACAACAAGGATGAGAACCGTTGGAGTTTACCTCCTAACTGAGGATGAATTTCCTCGGTTGGTGAGTAAGGAGAACTTCCCGCGGTTCAAGATTTTTTATAGCTGGAAAGAGGCAGTGGGTCCAGCCCACTTCAACCTGTGTTTGAAGAAGAAGAGGACCAGCGCTGAGAAGACCGCCGGAAGACATCATTCACCATTGACATGAGTTCACCGATGTAAACATGTTTATGTTCAAAAGCATTGATGTTCACATATATCTTAATCCACTACTGTTTTACTTGCAGTAGTGGGTTGTTATATATTCACACATAACATCCCAGTACTGCAATCACCCATATAGCCTAATAGGCAAGGGAGGGTGGTAAACATAAACAAATAAAATTATATATATACATATGAGAGCCGAGGTAGCCGTGCGGGCTAAGGCGGTTGGAAAATAAGTAATCAAAGCTAAGCAACGTCGATGGGTTAGTACTTGGATGGGTGAACACCCACCCGAGAAAGCCATATGCTGCCTGAGAATCTGCTCCTCCTTCTCGGGTATGTGAGGTCCGTCAGCCTATTGGAGGCAACTCAAACCGAACGGAAGACTGAGGACCCTACCTCGTGTACTTAAATCGGGAATCGAGATGTGGTTTACCAGGATGGATTGGTCCACTGGTCCAGGTTTGGTCCATGGACGGTCTGTCTCGGTGAAACAAATATAGGTCTTCGTTCGCCTACTCACTGTGAGCAGCAAATCTAATCCATGGGTCTAGATTGATTTGTCTTGAACCCGAGTAATAAGTCGGTGGGAAGGACATTGCCAGATTGGCCCCAAAGTAATTGGCTATAGAGCTATGGGTGGTATGCCGCTGCACCATAGAGATCCTGACCCTTCACGTAGCAACGTGAGGTTTGGTGACCCTCTAAAGGCTTTCTGTGCAGTCGCAAGGAATACACGTCTGTAAGGGGACCACATCTCGCGAGAAATAAAGATATATATATTCAAATGGATGTGTGTTTACTATATGTTTTTCGATGTTCGGTGTATATGTTGTTCTAATATACCTATTATCTAATTATGATTATACATTAAATTTAATTTACTTACTAGTGCAAATTCCAAAAAACTTAGATATATCTTTGTTCCCAAAGTGAACATATCCCATTGAGGAATCCACATTGCAGGTCCAAAGTGAACTGAGCCAGAAAACATTGCTTGATACTCAGGTCTTTCTGAACACAATACCATATAGATTGTAGATCCCAAGGAAGCACCGGCATAGTACAATTTAGAGTAGGTACTCTTCTTTAGAATCTGATCTATCATAGCCGGCAAATCATAGTAACCAATTTCGTCATGGCTAGAACAGTCGATGTTGAAAATATTTTAAATATAAAGAAAATATATAGATTTTTATTTCTTATATTTTATTTAAGATAAGAAATTAAATAAATCAATATACCACTGATCATTAAATAAGATGGCTAAGTTTGTTGCTTTAGTTTTGATATAGTTATATATTTCTAATTTTAGTAGATTACCAATTTGACAATAAGTAATAAAAAAAAATGGCTCCCAGAAGAAGTTATTTTGAATTCAGTTGAAGTCAATTAAAATACTTAATAATATTTTAAAAAGCGTGTGTTTTCATAAAACCATAATATCTCATTTACTGATATCCAACTCAGAATCACGTATGAAAAAGAATGAATGAGATTTTTAAATATTAATTCCTTTTTGTTCGTTCCTTTGAGAGGTGACTTTAACGATTTTAATTAATTTCCCTATGAGAAAATTTATACGCTCTCAGTCTTACTTCTGAGTAGTTTAGGGGAGAAATTTTTTAAAATATGGCATTGAAGCTCTTGTCACACTATTAAGTAAGTTTTTCTTTACTATTCTCTGAATTTTAAACAATTAACTGATTAATTGTTTCCACAAAACTATTGCATCTATAGTTACGTGTATATCATAATCTATAATTATGATTTAGTAGGAATAAAGAGAAGGAACATCATTGTACCTATCGTTATTGTGGGTAGTAACTGTTAAGATGGTAGATTATGGCTATGTATGGTTTCTTATGATCATAATCTACCGGATCATATTAACAGAATATATTTAATTAATAAAATTACCTAAAATCCCAGAATTCAGGCTGTGATGTATTATACCTAATATTCGATGTTTTATGATTTCCTCTCATAGAACCGAGCCAAACATCATATCCCAAATCAGACAGAATAAAACCTACAACATATGGCAGTACAGTATAATATTACTCAAATGAAATCAATTCAAATTATATATATTCTATAGAATTCTAAAATTAGCCATTTTTTCGAGGACTTTTTTCAATTTTTCAACTTTTTTTAAGTCAATAGTTTTTGTATTAAATTATCATGAGGTGAAGGAATTTTCGACCACTTGTAATCTAACTGTTTTCAGAAGGAAATACAATAATGTATTCTTAAGTTATCTCCTTATTTACAAGATTCTTAAAATTTGTTAAAACTTTGAACTAATTTTAACTTAACTAGTTTTAAAACTGACTTATTTTTCCAATTCCACCATTGATATTTCTTCTCTTGGGGGATTCTTCCGCTCCATATTTCGAGGAATATTGTAGAGATGGATGGAGCTCGTCAGTGATTGGGATAATATGCTAGACTCTGGTGAAATTTCGAGATTTTTTTCTGGGATAAGCGATGGTGTTGGATGTTGTTAATTACATAAAACGGAGCATCGAATATTTTTCGAAAGTTTGGACTGAAAAGACTGGGTGCATTTGATGTTAGAAAATGTAGAAATACAGAATTGAACAAATCTAAAAACAAGGATTATTTTACCGCTTATAAGTGTCTTGTTTCAATTCTAGAGTTTGACATTCATATTTGTCCACAACAGATATCTGTTTAACGAAATTTTGTTTTCGATAAAATTGAGGAACTAACCTAAATCGTGACCTGAACCCCGGAGGACCCAAAGTTCCGGTCCAAGTCCGAGACCCATCATTAACAGAACTGGAGGTCCTGGCTTATTGGCTATCCGGTAAAGGGGCAGAATGTAGCCATCCTCTGTATGCACGTTATATGTTTCTGCCTCATAGCCGTGATAAGTTATGAGCTGACTCTGAAAAATAATAATCATTATATCATAAAATAACCATTTCAAAAGAATAAATATATATTATATTAGACATATTAAAGATCCAAGGTGGAAGCACTATGCAATGAAAAATCATTTTAGTAAACCAATAGAATATAACGTCGCTTTATTGAAAAAAAAAAAAAACATTAAATGGCATTTGATAACCTATGAAATATGATAAAATTTATTACAATATTTATTACAGTAATTTTTATCCTATCTAGTTTAGTTTCCATGTTATGCGTTCTCAATAATCGACAATTTTGAAAATCAATTTTTTGTCTCACGTTTTTATTGTCGTTTTACTAGCCAACTCTTTTTCTATCCATTTTACGAAAAAATCATGAGGAAGAAAGTTAAACATTAAATTTTTGTCAAGAATATAAATTATATTACCATCTTACCTTTAATAATTCAAAAGTTGTAATTTGAGAAATTATATTTTATTCCGAGATTTAAAAAAAAATTAATTATAATTAACTTTCGTAAAAAAAAGAAGATAAATAAAAAATTAAGTAAAATAAATAATAATCAAATATAAATAAATAAATAATAATCAAATAAAAAAAAATTAAGTAAAATTAACTTTCGTATTTTACTGCTCGAAAGCTTTTTGTTATCCAGTATTTATCTATTTTTGTATAAGTAGTATGTACTATATCTATAAATAGCGTTTAAATAAGTAATATTTATTATACACTATATTTTAACTTAAATTTGTGCTTTTCTATGGGTAATATTGTTTAGTATTGTTGAAGACTATTCTCGTCCTAGAGCGCCCAATAGAACTACTATTAGAGCTCTGATTGTTACCTCTGTAGAAATGAAATGATGATATATGATTAAATACTTGAAGAATTACTATGCGTGTAATAAGTCCTCCACTTCATAATGCGGTAAAAACCCCAATTTTGATCATTGGCCATTAAACATTACTCCGGGTGAGGTATCTCTATCATTAAATCAATATTCATTAAAGCCTAGGTCCGCTACTGATAGAGTATTCAGTTAGTACACATATAAACCGTAAATTCGCTAAGCAAAGCTATAGGCTATAGCTATAGCTATAGGAGCAGGGGGGTTCCAAAACGAATAACATTTTACATTAATTAATATTCATACCATTTAATATTATACTATACTATATTATATTAAAATTTTAAGAAACTTATTTCACATCGGCATTTACTCACAGCATTCATAAAGTTAGGAGGAGGTCGAGGAAGTGGCCCCACTTTGGATGGATCGAACCTGCCTGCCTTTGTACAAGTTAAACCGCTAAAAAGCGCCATCATTAAAATCCTCAAGTTATCCATTTCGAGAGTCGCAGTACTTCCAAGCGCTTGCACCAACGGAACGTGAAAGTATTCTTGACCGAAATTAGCTATTCAAATCGCTGCCTCCGATCTGATAAGTATTATCTATAAGTACACTCATGAAGATGGAAGAGCAGCTTTTTTATTTATTTATTTTTTTATGAAAACGATCAACTTAAGATCACCGCAAAAGATCAAAGTCAAGTATCAACTGATAAACCTTACGCATTCCTTTTGGAAGTTCATCTCATTTCAGATTATGCTCTTGTAAATCATTATTAAAGGAAATGCAATGTAACTTAAGTTTTAATATTTAAGGAAATACAATATACAATAAACCCATTGAAATGAGATTCGAAAAACTATTGAATGGAACGTTATATTATTAGTTCGTCCGGATTCCGTACAAGATATGGTGAGCATTTCTACATATGCATACGAGTAGATACAATATTGTATAAAATATATTTATATTTATATATATTTTTTATTTATCTTCTTATTTTGGTTGGTTTCATATATCAAACGATAATTGATACAGTTATAAAATATCGGGCGACTAGACGCCCTATTTAGTTGCCCAGAACATTTGGCTCTTAGCGATGTCAAACTTACTAGGTATAAGGTATAACACAAGAAGATGTTGAAAATGTTGTCAACTTCGAAGACTTTCCACGGATCGAAGCCATTCAATCAGCTAGCAAAAAACGAAGACATTAAAAAAGGCAATTGAAAATTTTTCAATAAATCTTTCGATGATATGATGAAATTAATTGAAATGTCATATGATTCAAAAGACTTCAATAAACTAGTTCTGGAATTCACTGATAATAGAGAAGGCCCTCGGACAATGCTGGAAGACACTTGAAATAATATTACAAATCGGCGTTCAAAAAAAAAGTTAACAAAGCTTCTCAATAACAGTGGGACACAGTAGATAAGGTTATTAACACGAAAGAGAGCTATGACAACTAATTAGCCCACCAAATATATGTTTTAAGATTATGACATAAACCAACAAATCATTAATTAAACAGTGGGACTATAATGGATTTCATAAATATTATGAATATTTTCAATTATCACTTACAGAAAGAAGCCATCCTGTTTTTGTTTACAAGAGACACATCTTTTAAAATCCCAGACAGTTAACTTAAACAATTATAACATCTATCGAAAAGACAGATCTGACGGTAAGTCCGCTTGGAGAGGAATAGCAACAATGATTAATAAAGAAATATACTCAGAAGAAAGAAACATCAAATCTAATCCTGAAGTAACAGACACAAAAATTTACTATCCTGAGCCTACGTCCATTTGTAATATTTACATTGGACCAAATAGAGTTCACTGACAATGATCTTCAAGCTATAGTAGACCAAATCCGCCGACGTTTGTATGTAGAGAGCGGGCGGTCTTGGAGACAAGAAGAAAATATTTGGCGTTGTCATATGCTGGTACATTGATATCAAGAATAAATCTTGTAGCATGTGGATTTACGGTACATTCAATTGAAAATGATGAACATAATCGAACCTGTAAATGCTTTATTAATAGAGTCAATAAATTAACAAGAGAGTTACAAATAAATCTGCCTAATTGTTTTAAAATTCCAAAGAATTCAGCACCCTATGGATGAAATCAGAAATCCCTAGTACCAATGTGAAAGAAGAATTGACATATTACATGGATGTATAAAGCATATGTTTATAACCTTATGCTAAAGGTCTCAGGTTCGAATCTCGACTCATGGCAGAAAAATTATTATTCTGTTTCATTGGCTGTGGGGCGACCTTGGTATAGTGAGATCCTCCTGGGGCACACATACCCGCTATAAGGTGGGTACCTTTAATTAAATAATTAATTAAGAGGGAAAACCGGACGGTTGAGCGTGATCCTGGCCCGATTTCCTCCTTGCACAACCTTTAGTCCTTGAAAGAGTACTTTCCCTAAATAGTACTAAACCAAAGACCCTTCATGGGTTGTAGTGCTACAGATGTTTTTGTAGTGTTTCTTTTTTTATAACCTTAAATACATTTTCTGTAGTTTAATAGTTCTAAACGTGATGTAGTATTTAAATAGTTAGGTATCTATCGCCTGTTTATTCCAAAAAATCATTATGTAACCTTTTAAAAAATTAAAATAGTGAATTTGATGAATTTTCTTTTTGTGAAATTCAAACATTATCCGCTTAAAATTAGTGTAAAAACTTTTGACCTATCTATGATAGGCAATAAAAATCTCGTAATTTCTTCGTAGTAAACTTTAAAATGAAAAATAATAGTTTAATAACTATTAGGGGTACAGTCCATAATCATTTATAGGTTGAATATAGTGATATACTTTCAAAGCTCTCTAGGCATATATATACATTGCTCAGAAACTGGAGTTATGTGGTTTACAAAAACAGATGGAGGAGTGCCGAGGTTTTTATTGTCTACCGTTGATATAACTAATAGGATTTTTGTTATTTTAGTGAGGTTAATGATTTGTTAGCTGTAAACTTTAACCGTTAAAAGTGCACTTCAAAAAATTTGTAATTGCTCAATATTGCCATAAAATAATTTCTATAAGTAGAAAGGTAAGTGAAAGTTGTGTGTTGCGCGCACAAGATTTTTTTTCCCATGTCTTGAAGGAATACTACAGCTAGTATTACATGTGTTTTATATGTGATGAATGCAACTTTAATCTAAATTTGAGAACAGAAAGATGTAACTTTAATGTAACAGAGAAAAGAACAAAAAAAAAAAAAAAAAGAAGAATTCAATTCAATAAACACAAAATTAGCCAAATAAAATAAAAAAGAAATTGACTAAGGAAGAATTTATTAATTACGGCAGTGTTACCGATAAATGTGAAGAAAAAGTGGTAACTTATATAATCTTTTCAGTCCTCAAACAGTCTACATAATTGCAATTCAATCAGAATGCGTTTCATTAATTTAATTAATTTTTGAAGATTTGAAATATATTCAATTTAAAAGCATTGGTAAGAAAATGTCTTAATTATCATTACGCCATCACCTCTTAATAAGTTCACATGTACTTCTATATGTTCTTCATGAATTTTTATGATAAGAAATTTAGTTCAAAGTTTATATATACAAATAATTTCTGTATTAAGCAAAATGTCTTAAAAAAGTTCCTTACCGTAGTGAGGAAGCAAAATTTCGGAATAAAGTGAAATTGCTGCACCGAAATAAAATTTTCAAAATAATAATTAAATTATTGTATTGATCGAATAACGAGATGACATTTGTACTTTGATAAATGCGCATTGTTGAACTTATTGAAATATGATCCCTTTGTTTTTATTTTTTTTTTCATCATCTTCAATTCATTCAATTTCACAACAGTGTCATTTCAAGTTTCTTTTAGATAAAATGATAATGCACTTATATGTAATTTTATTTTTTAATAATAATTTAATTTGATCATTATAGACTACTGTATGATATTAAAAACATAGCAATATCATAAACTTATTGAAGTATTGATATTAAGGCTTCCACATACAGAACGAGATATGTCCCGGCGATACGATACCCTTTATCTGTGTCGCTGCGGATATTTGCTCTCTGTATGACTGCTATAATGCAATAGATAGTAATACAAGTACAACACCATACCACCGCTGATGGTAATATCGTATCGCCTTTAAACCTGAGACCGAGTACCTTACACACAACCCATCTCCTCTCTTTTTCTAGTCATCGGCTTTGTGAAGAAAGTCTTTTGGCCATTATGTTTCTTGATTCACATCGTTGAAACCATCTGGTTAATTTTTTATGACTGTATTTTCTTTTCCAGTTTTACAATTTCCATTGTTATTTCAGATGCCTTCGAGTCTTGAAATCTTGGACAGAAAGTAATGTTTAAAGTCTTTCAGAGAAGCTCGTGAAATTTTTATTATTTTAATTCATTTTAAAAGTGTTTCTATTCATTCTGCATCTAGATGTAAAAATCACAATTTCTTCCGTATGGATCGACTCAATCATTGGAAGAAGAAACTAAAGTTGAAGTTTTCCATTAATGCCCAGAAATAATTTCATTAATAATGCGACTTAAGTAATTAATAATATAAGTATAAGTTAAAAGAAAGGAAAAATCATTTTATTTTGTAGTGAGTAGTGAGCCTTAACCCAATGGTATATGTTGGACAGAGATAGGCACTGCTAGTGAATCCTAAAATAGAAAAAACATAGGTTTAAAAAATAAATAAATAAATATATATATATATAACTATTGTATTTCAAACAATTATAAAGTAATTAATGTTATTAAGTAAATCTCGTATGAAAATACCCAGTATCTGTTGTTATTAAAGATCATTTCTCAACCTACAACTTTATATGTAATCGAGAAAACGTTAAACTTAAATAAACTATACTTTAAAACCGCAATATTTTAAATTTCTTAGGCGACCCGTTGTCCGGTATTCTGATGAACCGAACTTAGATAAACAAGATAAAATAATAACGAGTTCGCGTCTCGGTGCGGCAGGGGCTTTTAACTTAGCAACTCCCGTCTTCTCCCATAGTTCGAGAAAAAACCTTTATAGCCCAAAAGGCGAGAAAGGATTGTACCCAAAAATTCTCGTTTTATATTAATTTCCATTTCCGTGATGTGTTAGGAGGACAAAAATGTAGAGTAAATCTTTGTCACAATTTAAATATATTTTGTTTTTATATCATAAAATTAAATTACTAAGTTATTTGATGATTTCCTCTCTGTGAAATCAGGACATTGTACAAATAATGTGATTACTTTTGATATATTACTATTTTTTTTTTTTACACCCCAGGAATTTATTTACTATACAAAATACAATATATAAATACATAAAGAAATATATATATACAAAAATTTCTAATTTCTAATTTTATTTTAAGGTAGTTTGATATATTAAGAAGATTGTATTATTTTTATGCTGTTGAATCGATCAATAAGGTCGAGATTAAAACAAAAAAAGTATTTAAAATTTTAGCTACATCAATAATA